CATATATACTCATTTATTCAATTGGCCCTTTTCAGTTTCCAAAAATCGAAAATTAAAAAAATTAGGTTTTTCAAAATTTTAAAATTAAAAAAATTCTATTTTTCAAAAACAGAAATTGAGTTCAGTCTTCAAAAGCCTTTTTTTCCTCCGCTTCTCTCACAAATCTCCATGGGTGAATACCCAAGCCTTTTGATCTCCTTAAATATCTCTTCAGCCTCATTAACTAGACCTTCCTTGCATAAACCACATATGAAAATAGTGAATGTTGTAGAGTCATGGAAGCAATCTTTCTTTGAGATCCCTAAATGCAGAGATTGAGCCTTATCTAAGAACCCAACATCACAGGGACCCTTAATCAAGGTGTTATAATAGTATCTGGAATGAATCCTTTACTAGTCATTTCCCTCAAAAGCCCAAGTGCGCCATTGTTTACAATCCCATTAAAGGAAAGTATATAATAACATCATTTATTTTTGGTATAAGGTGTTCACAATTAATCTTAACCATTGGATGTGATATTAATCTTGAACATTTACCTCAACTTTTTCTTTCTTACTGATTAAATAATAAGGCTGGTGGTTAGGCGCTCCTTAACACGGTTTGAGAACCAAGAACCATATCAAATCTTTCCAAATCCACCTGTGAACTTAAAAAATAGACTTAACGCTTCAAGTCTAATAACTCAGTTATAAATTTAATGGACAAAAATTATACAAGATGAACCATTTTTATTTTTTATTATTCTTGTTGCATTATTTTTTGTTGTTGTTGAATTACTTGTTATTGTTGTTGTTGTAATATCCATGATTTTAAAGTTTAACTTCTAAATAATAGATATCTAGAATTTGGGTACCCATTGGATTTATGCCCCCACTACGCCCAATACTTTCTTTTTAAAAATTTTAAATGTGCTACTTCTCTTTTTTTGACAAAGCTTTTTATACTTCTCCATACCGTATACGTTATATACTTTCCCCCATCTAGTTGTTCAATTTAGATTAAGTAAATCAATGATCTTTTGATCTAGATCCGACGTCGCAGAGTATTTTATTTTTAATTTTTTTCTACAAATAGTATGAATATGAAATTTGGCACATGCTATTATCTCAATCGGATGCACCTAAAATGTAAGAGTTAGTTTTTTTTAAGGTATTAGTGGGGTGGTATCAATAAGAATAGGATATAAACCATAACGTAGTGATTAGAGTGTGGGGTGCTACCCCACGACCCTAGGCCCTTTCCCTATGGGTAGTACCCTATTTTTGATTTTGTCCCCAAAAAAAAAGTACTCTAGTTCCGATGGACTATATAGATGACATCATGGATGACATAAGTCGGTGGACACAATATTTAAGGAGAAAATAATATTAAAAAAAAAGTTATATTAGGGTACTCACATTATAGAGTAATTTATCATTGTACTCAACAAATTTGGACATTTATTTACTCTTGTTTTCTACGAGGAGTTTTTTTTTAATAATAGTATTTTTGGTTATTAGGAAGGGTGTGACGTCACCTATATGGGGTGTGATATCATCCATATGGAGCACACTGATGACATTTAATATTCCATGTGGGTGATGTCACACCCCTCTTAATGACAACAAATATTCTTACTAAAAAACTCTTATGTAAAAAAAAAAAAAAAGTTAATAAATATCTAAATTTGTTGAGTTCAATGATAAATTACTCCACACTGAGAGCACCCCTCAACTCAATTCTTTTTTCGTGGTGGATCCTATTCCCTTAATTATCACGTTGTTGTTGTAATTTCCAATCGTGCTGACTCCACTCAATGACACGTTTAAAAAAGACTTCCTCTCTAATGTATTTAAGAAAAATGGGTAGGGGACTGTCCTCCCACTTAATTACCGAAAAAAAACTCAATCCTTTTTTCCTGATGATTTGCCCACGAATATTGAATGCTGTTTCATATGGCTTTATGAAGGTTGATGCAAGTCACCCTATACAACTTTCATGATGATTTGTTATCACACTATTAATGAACTTGTTTTTTTATTCTCTCTAGACATGTTCCATGCATAGGATTCCATATATATAACAACATAAATTACGTCATTTATCATAATTGGATTTCAAAAATAAATCATGTGTGTTGTTTTGCTCCTCATTCCACATGGATCATTTGCCCAACTTAGCCAATAAGAAAAAGGCAGGGAAAATAAGGTTTACTCCGTTTCATTGAGAGTAAAATACAATAAACACTTGATAAGACAAATTGCAATTAAGCTTTAAAGAAGATTCAGAAGATTTTTAACTTAAATAAAAATGAAACTGCAGCCAGATTATTAGGAATAAGACATTACAATAAAATATCAGATTAAATGAATATTCTAATGTGCCAATCTATGAATATTTCAGACAGAATTCTGAAGTGCCACATCTTACTAATTCCCTTCATCAGGAAATTAAAAAGGGGTAATCTGTATAACTCACAACTGGATCAGGTTCATCAGGAACTTAAAAAGGGGTAATCTGTATAACCCACAACTGGATCAGGGATATAGAAGGTCTCTCTGTTATACTTGTTCAATGGAGCATTCAGTTCAAACCTTCTTGGCAAGTCTGGGTTCGCCAAGAAAATGCGCCCAAAGGCAACAAGATCAGTGGCTCCCTCAGCAATAGCCTTGTTACCATCTTCTTTATTGTAACCCCCAGCTGAAATGAAAGTCCCCTTAAATGCCTTCCTCATAGGTAGAAGGCTATGTGGTGTCTCAGCTTTCTCACCAACTGTAATCATTCTGGGCTCAACAAAATGACCATAGAGGATATTGTGTTTGTTTAATGCCTCGGCCAGGTAGAGGCCAAGAGCTTCAGGGTTTGAGTCTCCTGCATCACCATAAGATGCAAATGGTGAGACCCTTATGCCAACTCTATCAGCTCCAATCTCTTTAACTACAGCTTCCACTATATCTAGTGTAAATCGGCAACGGTTCTCTAGGCTTCCACCATATTGGTCGGTCCTATCGTTCACGCTATCCTTCATGAACTGGTCAAGCAGGTATCCATGAGCTCCGTGGATTTCAACTCCATCGAAACCTAGATCAAAATTTGGAAACTTATCAAGGAATATTTGGTGAGAGTACAGACAATTGATAGAAAATTTGTTGCATTCAGGTAAATACATATCTAAGATGCAGACATGGATTCGTATTAGTCCAACATTCTAATATAAGAGCAGTATTTGTCGATATCATAATCTATGCGAAAACTTAGTTCTTAGTTTTCTGAATGGAGGACCATACTTCACAAGTTGATACATCCTTAATACAACTTACGAGTGAATCACATTCATAAATAAAACCAAGCAGTCATAAATTTAATCAAAATGAACTTAAGATAATGAAAATAGTATTAAATAACTTCAAAAAATAACTATGATACTAACTGAAGTGCTCAAATAGTTACCAGCATCAATGGCATTTCTTGCAGCGAGTCTGAAATCATTGACAACATTTGGGATTTCCTCGGTGGCTAGAGCTTGAGGTGGGGAGTACTCTACCACATCTATCTGGTTGGCTCTCAGTTGTGGCTTCAGTTGCTTGTTGGTAGAGGAGATTGGAGCTTGTCCATTTGGTTGATATCCTGGACATATAATATAGCACTGAAATTTGGTAATCTTCATAATTTACTGAAATGTTGAAACTCTAGTATGCAAGCAAAAAAATAATTTGAGAAAAAAATAAAAGACCCAAAAAGACAATTTAATTAATGCTATCCATGGGAGTGTATACAAATTTTCTTGGTTAAAGCATGAGACAAAGGGCTCCATATTTCCAAGGGTACTTCCTGCCCAAAAGTCAGTAAACCTTTTTTTAGGGGGTGAAAAAGAAAGTAAAAACTTAAAGTTAAAGAGCCATACATTTCCAAAAAAATCTCCTGTGGATTTCTTCATAGGAAAACTTCCATGCATGACAATGGTAATCTTTCTTTTGTGACATATAAGTTACTATGGAAAACCTTAAATAGCGCCGCCGGTTTTTAAGTCACAGCTCAAATATCGCGGAAACAGGTTGTTTGGTACTGAAAAATCCTAAAATTGAACATCTAGACCTCGACAATTATTGTTCTAGAAAATAAAAAAGAAAGGAGTTGAACCTAATATAGTGTATCGTATGACACATTTTATGGACCATCCATTTTCAAGTAAAATAGATTCACCGTATCTGCATCAACATTGGAGCATCTGATTTCATAATCAGGGCTGAGAAATAGATTTTCTAGGCCAAGGTACAGATTTTTGGTGCCAGAACTGCAATTTTCGGCAGAGAGGTGTGGCTTTACTTTTCATTGTAAAACCTCAGCCATAAGGCAATTGCAACCGTATGCTACTGTAACCCACAATTGACTTTGATCAAAATGTCCATTTGAACCAATATCATAAGCATTCAACTTTTCTAGCCAAGATCAATTTTTCGATAAATGAGACAGTACTATGGCCCTATTGGTTTCTTTCTTTTTCATTCAAGTAGAGTTCAAGCAAATGGCGTAGTGAATTTAATTTTTAATTTTATTATAACAAAAAGGCAACAAATAATGGAAGATACCATAGTTGGAGACCCTCCCAACATGCCAAATCTGGCAAAAGAAGACACCACCCTTTTCATGGACAGCATCAACAATGGGTTTCCATGCCTCAACCTGCTCCTTTGTCCAAATACCAGGTGTCAATGGGTATCTGAAGAGAGAGAGAGAGAGAATCACATTAAAAGAATAAAAAACAATGAGAAATTCACAATACAATAAGTAAATATCACAATATTACAGGGATTTATAGGGTGACTCTCAATGTATTATAACAATATATGCTAAAAATGTGTTTTGCTTGATTTTTAAAGTTTCTAGAAATACCCTTGAGCAGTGTCTGAAACACCAGTTGCTTCAGAGATGAGAAGTCCTCCTTTAGATGCTCTCTGAGAGTAATATAAGATTGCATGGGGTTGAGGAACGTTGCCATAAGATCTTTGCCTTGTTAATGGTGCCAATACAACTCTGAAAAAATAAATACAGAAAAAACGAAGTTAACCATTAGAAAACACAAGAAAAAAAAGAAAATGATCAATTTCATCGTGATTGTTATTTAGGGTCTATAAGTTCCTACAGGTACGCAAACCTGTAAACTATGTATATTTTAAGATTGATACGTGTTGCATTCCGCAAATAAAATTTGTGGCAAGTTTTCTAAGTCACAATTTACTTACTATTCTGGTTATATCTTCACATACAAACAAGTAGGTCTGAGGCCCAGGCCTATCTTTGGACCACACATTAAAGGCCATGGGATGGGCCTGGGCCAAGCATTCTTTCCGGGCTAGGACCAGCTTTGGCCACTCTTAAAAGAATATGAGATCAGCTCACTAGGCGACAGCTACAGTAAATGTCTAATGGCCTAGATTGAATCTGGGCCTATCCAAAAGTTAGGATTAGATTTTATATATAAATGGTAAATTTTTTTTTACAAATCCAAATCACTTGAATGTTTATTCTTCCAAATCACTTGAACGTTGAAATGTATATTCTTTAAAAATAGAAGAATGTAATAAAAATATTAAAAAAATAATTTACAAAAAATAAATTGACAAAAATACCCATGAAAAAGTATTTTGATCAATTTATTTTTTAATATTTTTATTAGGTATGCCTTGATGAGAAGAATGAACACCCTAAATGTCGTGTGCTTTAGAGTTGTAGAAAAATAATAAAATTATATTACGAAATGAGATAGTGAATATCAGATCGGCCCAGATTCAATATGGTCATTGGGCTTACACTATTCCATCAGCGCTTATGGACTGAAATGATCTTTTTCCATATATATATATATATATGACAATGTTGAGATTAGCCCACTAGCTTATAAGAACATATGAGCCCAACAGTCCAGATTGAATCTGAACCGATCTAACGGTCACGACTTCATTTCGTATTTGAAATTTTTTTCTACAAATCCAAATAACTTAAAAGTTTAGATGTCCATTCTTCTCATCAAGACGCACCTAATAAAAATATTTAAAAAAATAATTCACAAAAAACAAATTGACCAAACTACCCCAAAACTTTTCAAGGGTATTTTGATCAATTTATTTCTTGTAATTTTGTTATTTTTATTAGATTCTCCTACTTTTGAAGTGTACATGCCTAAAAATTCAAATTATTTAGATTTATAGAAAAAAATACGAAATGAGTCAACCCAAATTCAATCCGTTGGGCCCATATATTCATATGAGCTAGTGGGCTAATCTCAGTATTTTTCATATATATATATATATAAGGGTGTGTTTGGATTCATGGGTAGTGTTAAAAATTAGATCTGGCCTGTAAACTGGTCAGAGTCGGTTCGAGTAACTGGTAACCGCGGTAA